TCATCATCATCATTCATAATCATCACCATCATCATCATCATCATCATCATCATCATCATCATCATTATCATCATCAGCATCAGCATCATCATCAGCAGCAGCGGCAGCATCAGCATCATCATCATCAGCATCAGCATCAGCATCATCATCATCATCATCACCACCACCACCACCATCATCATCATCATCATCAGCAGAGTCATCATCATCAGCATCATCATCATCAGCATCAGCATCATCATCATCAGCATCATCATCATCATCATCAGCATCAGCATCATCAGCATCATCATCATCATCACCATCATCGTCATCATCATCACATCATCATCATCATCGTCATAATCGTCATCATCATCAGCATCATCATCATCATCAGCATCATCATAATCAGCATCAGCATCATCATCAGCATCATCATGGGCATCATCATCATCATCAGCATCATCATCATCATCGTCGTCAGCATCAGCATAATCATCAGTATCATCATCATCATCATCATCATCATCATCATCATCATCATCATCCTCATCATCATCAGCATCACCCTCATCATCATCATCATCATCATCATCATCATCATCATCATCATCATCATCCTCATCCGCATCCGCATCCTCATCCTCATCATCAGCGTCATCAGCAGCATCAGCATCATCATTATCAGCAGAATCATCATCAGAATCAGCATCATCACCATCATCATCACCATCACCATCACCATCATCATCATCATCATCAGCATCATCATCATCAGTATCATCATCATGATCAGCAGCATCAGCATCGGCATCATCGCATCATCAACAGCAGCATCATCATGAGCATCAACATCATCATCCACATCCTCCTCCTTCTCCTCCTCTGACTCATCATCATCATCATCATCAGCATCAGCATCATCATCACCACCACCACCATCATCATCATCAGCAGCATCATCAGCATCAGCATCAGCATCAGCATCAGCATCAGCATCATCATCATCATCATCATCATCATCATCATCATCATCATCATCATCCTCAGCATCATCCGCCTCCGCCTCCGCCTCCGCCTCCGCCTCCGCCCCCTCCTCCTCGTCTGATTAGTGTTAACATGATTGCATTACCAGTATTGGCATTCTGCTTCGTATCATCATCATTCGGATGCTTCTTCTCAGTATCATTAGTATTCTGATTTTATTATTACTAGTACATGTGTTATCATTCGTGTTCTTTTTTCAAATATAGTAGTATTACTACTATCAGTAGTAGTATGCTTCTTCTTACTATTATGAATATAATTATCCTTCTTCCTCCTCCTCCTCCTCCTCCTGCTCCTGCTCCTGCTCCTGCTCCTGCTCCTGCTCCTGCTCCTCCTCCTCCTCCTCCTCCTCCTCCTCCTCCTCCTCCTGCTCCTCCTCCTCCTCCTCCTACTCCTCCCCTCTCTCCCTCCCTTCCTCCCTCCCTCCTCCCTCCCTCCTGGCCTTCGCCTGAGCGCCGCGCACACTCGTCTTAAAATGTCGCTAGAGTTTAACGGATTGAGGGCGGGTTGTTTTCAAAATATAGCTCTCGCCTATTAGCGCCGCGCACGTTCGTCTTCAGATTTTGCAGGAGCTCCACGGATTGAGGTCAGGTCGTTATCAACATGTGGCTCTCGTCTTAGCGCCGCGCACATTCGCCTTAGAAAATGTGCAGGAATTTCACTGAGTGAGAGCGGGTCGTTTTCAAAATGTGGCTCTCGCCTTAGCGCCGCGCACATTCGCTTCAAACATGTGCAAGAGCTTCACGTATTGAGGGCGGTTCCGTTTCAAAATGCGGCTCTCGCCGTAACGCCGCGCACATTCGTCTGAAAAGAATCCCAAATAATCACGGATTCTGATGAGGAACTTACCAAAAACGGTGTTCTGTAACGGCTCAAGATTGCCAGGGCGCAACAGCTACGTTGATTCGCGGCGTGGAAGTCCCAGGAATGGCGTTCCGGCACGATTCCGGATCGTGAAGAAGCAACAATCAGGTTGACGTGTAGCGTCGAAGTCTCGAGAATGGTGCTTGGGCACTCTTCTGCATTTTCAAACCGTGTTCTCCCAACGGGGCACTTTCCTCAGTGAAAATGCACCCTTGTAGGAGCCTGTGAACAGAAAGCTTCGAGGGAGGGTTTATTCCAACATCGTTGATGAGTCTGGGTTTACACACGTCATCCTCCTCCCCCTCATCCTCCTGATCCTCATTATCCAACTCCTCCTCCTCCTCCTCCACCTCCTCCTCCTCCTCCTCCTCCTCCTCCTCCTCGTCATCATCATCATCATCATCATCATCATCATCATCATCATCATCATCATCATCATCATCATCATCATCATCATCATCATCATCATCATCATCATCATCATCATCATCATCATCATCATCATCATCATCATCATCATCATCATCATCATCATCATCATCATCATCATCATCATCATCATCCTCATCATCATCATCATCATCATTCATCATCCTCATCCTCATCATCATCCTCATCGTCATCATCGTCACCATTACCATCATACCATCATCATCATCATCATCATCATCATCATCATCATCATCATCATCATCATCATCATCGTCGTCGTCGTCGTCGTCGTCATCAGCACCATCAGCATCAGCAGCAGCATCATCATCATCAGCATCATCATCATCATCATCAACGTCATCATCATCAGCAGCATCATCATAATCATCATCATCATCATCATCATCATCATCATCATCATCATCATCATCATCATCATCATCCTCATCACCATCACCATCACCATCACCATCACCATCACCATCACAAGTTTCATCATCAGCGTCATCATCACGATCATCATCAGCAGCATCATCATAATCGTCATCAACATACTCATCATCAGCATCATCGTCATCATCATCAGCAGCATCATCCTCATCATCATCATAGCATCATCATCCTCATCCTCATCATCATCAGTATCCTCGTCCTCATCCTCATCCTCATCATCATCATCATCATCATCATCAGCAGCAGCATCATCCTCATCCTCATCCTCATCCTCATCATCATCATCAGCATCAGCATCAGCATCAGCATCAGCATCATCATCATCAGCATCAGCATCAGCATCAGCATCATCATCATCATCATCATCATCATCATCATCATCATCATCATCATCATCATCATCATCATCATCATCTGCCTCCTCATCCTCCTCCTCCTCTGCATCCTCCTCTGCATCCTCCCCGTGCAACTGGTGCCCTGGGCTTTGTGCCCCTCTGAGTGTACAAGAACCTGGTGGTTTTGCTTCCGAGCTCGCACTGTGTTGGCCTTTGGGGCTGTATATCTACTACACCCCCATGGTTGTCCTCTCACCGCGGAGCCTCCGTGGACTGCCTGACCTGACCTCCTCCTCCTCCACCCCGTCACTGGGGAGCTCGGCACCGACCCACGAAACACGCACGGACCTCCAACAGGGTCGCGTTGGTGTGCGATTTGTTTGCTCCTCGGCCGGGGCACCGGAGTGCTCCCGAGGCCCCCGCCGAAACTAGCGGCATGCGGCAGATGTCGTACCCCCAGCTTCCCAGGTCCCCCCATCCGTCCGACCCGAGAGAGGAAAGAGGAGTGGTGCACGCCACCCTCCCTCAGCAAGAGACTCCCTCGGGCCCCCGACGTCATGATGCTCTCACTGCGAGCCTCACCAGAGGTCTCGACCCATCCTTGGCGGCAGGCACACGGGGTCAGGGGGAGGGGGAAGGCGTATGAGAAGCGGGGGTGCTTCTAAGAAGCGTTCCCCCCTCCCCCTACAGTCTACCCGTATCATCAGGACGCGCGATAAGGATGCAAGGGCCTTGGACGCCCATTTCGAAACTTTTCGAGCAGAGCGCGGCCAACGAATGTGGCCAAGGATGGACCGAGGAGGCGAGGATGCAAGGGTACCCTTGGGAAGGATGCCCATCCTTATTATGTGGCCTCGTCATAGCGTCGACTCACAGAGGCCTCGACCCCTTCCGCAGGACCAGCTCGTCCTCCCGAGCCGTTTTTGGACGGCCGGCCCTGGGGCTAGCGAGGGGCCCTCCGAAGCCGAAGATAGCCAAAACAACTGGCTCACAGCGAGAGGACGGACGGACGGACGGCACAGCAGACACCCGGGCGGTGCGTGGATGAAAATGGCAAGGCGCACAGATATATCACCGACGGCCAAACGCCCCGCAATCAGCGAGCTCCATCCTCACAGCGAGAAGAGGTGGGAGCCAGTGAGAAACTCCCTGGGGCCCCCCTGGTCGGCGGCGAGCGAGGGGGAGAAGCGAGAAGGAGAAGGCATCCTCAGGGAGGCGACCAGACTCCTCAGCAGCCACCCGGCCGTCTGAGGAGCCTTCTGTGCCTTCGAAGAAGGCGCAGAAGGCTCACCAGAAGGCCGGGGGACTTCCGAGCCTTCTGAGAAGGCCCGCCCCTTCTTGCTGCCCGCCTGGGCGCGCCGCCGACCGGGTCCGACCGTGTCCTGCGGGTACCATGGGACGTCCACCTTGACGTGGCCCGCCGCGGGCTTCTCCGCGGCCGCGGCGGGCGCCTGCGAGGGAGCAGGCGGGCACCGCAAACGCGCACACCCCCTCCCCAGACAGCGCTGCTTCCTGCTCCCAGGCAAGGTCAGGACCCAGACAAGCTCGCGTCGTAAACTCGAGGAATCCTCGAAGCTGGTAAGGAACTTGAAACGAGCTTTCTTCTGACGCGCGTGCAACCCTTTCCTTTTGCTTGGCTGCAACCACTACCTCCTGCACGTCATGCTGATCCTCCTCCTCCTCCTCCTCCTCCTCCTCCTCCTCCTCCTCATCCTCCTCCTCCTCCTCCTCCTCCTCCTCCTCCTCCTCCTCCTCCTCCTCCTCCTCCTCCTCCTCCTCCTCCTCCTCCTCCTCTTCCTCCCTCCTCCTCCCTCCTTCCTCCTCCTCCTCCTTCCTCCTTCCTCCTTCTCGTCATCATATTCCTGCCTCCACATTCCTTCTCCCCATCGTCGTCTCCCTCCTGCACGGCGGAAGCTGTGCACGTGTGAAGAATCCGACGCGACCAAATTGGATCCCACGCAGGGGGCGTCGACACGTAAATGTACGTGCCCCGCGCGCACGCGCCAGGCGCATGTTGCCCCCCCTCCGCGCACGCGTTTTCACATGTGAAGAATCAGGACGGCCCGAATTGGATCCCCCTGGGAGCCGTGGACACGTGAAAATACTTTTCCCGCGCGCACGCGCCAGGCGAATGTTGGCTCCTCCCTCCGCGCACGTATTTTCACGTGTGATGACTCTGGGGGCCCCAAGTTGGGTGCCCCCCTTCAGGGCCGTGGACACATGAAAATACTTTTCCCGCGCGCACGCGTGCCAGGCGCATGTTGGGTCCCCCCCGCGCCCAAGCTGGGTCCCCCGTGGGGGCCACGGACATGTAGAAATACGTGCCCCGCGCATGTCGGCCCCCCCTCCGCGCACACATTTTTATGGGGGCCATGGACAAGTGTAAGTACGTGCCCCGCGTGCTCGCGACAGGCGCGTGTTGGGTCCCCCCCTCCGCGCGCGTACTTTTACGCGTCAAGAAAGAATGCGGCGGGTTAAATTAGGTCCCTCGCTGGGGGCAGTGGACAGTGGACACGTGAAAATACGTGCCCCGCGCGCACGCGCCAAGCGCATGGAGGATCCCCCCCTCCGCGCACGCATTTTCACGTGTGAAGCATCCGGCGGGCGAAATTGGGTTCCTCGCCTGCGGCCCCGCCGCGGCCAGAAACACGAAAAAAGAAGTGCCGATCGCACGCGAGCCGAGACTCTTGCTGGAGACCCACCCCTCCGCACAGGTTGTGTCACCTCTCCGACTCTGGCGGGCTGAACCGAGTCCCTCGCCCGCGGCCCCGGCGTGGCCAGAAACGTGTAACAACACGTGGCGAACGCACGCGTGCCGAGACTCCTGCTGGAGAGCCCCCCTCCGCAGACGCATTTTCGCGCGTCCACTTCCGACGCCCGCTGCCCGGCGCCCTTCCGGTGGAGGGCCTCTGGCCCGCAGGCTGGCAGGAGGGACCCCGGGCTGGAGCCCCTGCCTGGGAACGGATGCGGCGGCGAGTCCTCGGACGCTGGCCCTCGCCAGGCCCCGCGAGCGCCAGAGACTGCGCAGAAGGAGAGCCCAGTCCTGGGGAAGGGGTCGAGAACCTGGAGAACGAGATTGTTTTAGTCTTCATTCCTGGCCCTAAAAAAATCGATTGAGAATGACCAAGCCTTCGATTGCAGTGGGCCCAACGATGAGGGCGCGGGCTCGAACGTCGTCGGACAAGGCTAAAACAATCCCAAGGAGAGCCCAGTCCTGGAGAACCTTTGGGGGTCGGCGTACCCAAAAAAACGAGACATGGGATGTCTGGGTCAGGAGGCAGCTCCTGGGAGGCCTCCGTGGGAACGGTTGGAGGGGCCGCGGAGCCAGAGTCATCAGGCCCAAGAGTAAGCCAGAGCATGCCAGATTGAGCCGGGTTGAGTGGGATTGGGCCGATTCGGGCCGGTTTTCGGTCACAGATCGTACCAGCGCCGATGCTGAAGTTAACCTCCCAGGAGTTGCAACCGAATCAACGCCTGCCAAGAAAGGGCTCTCGATCTTGAAGGGCAGAGGCGAGTCGAAGGGAGAGGCTGCCAGATGGCCGAGGCCGTGGGCTCCCTCGCGGCGTTGGCGCCTGCCTGCTACCCCACAGAGCACGAGATGGCCCAGGATTCCGACGGACTCCTGAGGATTCCGAGGGGTGCCTAAGGATTCCTCGTGGTTCCTACGGGTTCTTGGGGACTCCTACGGATTCCTAAGGATTCCTGGGTGTTCCTAGGGATTCCGATGGATTCCTATATAGGTCCGTGTGGATTCCTAAGGGTTCATACAGATGCCTAGACGACGACGGCCCCGTAAGCGGCCGGGGGTTCTGCGCGGGATGGGCCCCGGGGGGAAGGGGTCAAAGTGGGTCCCTGGAGCTCCCCCGGGGCCGAATCTGGTGAGTTTTTTGAGCCGCGCGCAGCCGTCGCGACGAAGTGGCCTTCGACCGTGAACAAACCTCCCTTTAGTAAACCTCCCCTTAGTGACAACGGCCTGGGACCGAAACCGACGGACCTGGACCCGCAAAAACGACGGCCGCGACGCCCTCTCGCGAACTGAAAACGGCCAATTCCTCAATCGACGTGTCAGGGTAGGAGGTCTATCCACCTCCGAGGCCTCTTCTCCCCCCTGTCTGCCAGCCAGGATCAGTCAGGATGACCCAAGCTCGAATCGGAAAATCGAATCGGCGATCGAAATACGTCGAGTCGGCAGAAGCCAGCAGGCAGAGCGGAAGGCATCGAGGTCGACGCTGGGCGGGCCGAGCCGCGGCCTGCACGGGGAGACCCAAACCGAGGTCGGAGTCTGGAGTCGAATCGAACCGAAATCGAAACATCTTCGGAACCTCCCCCTCCTCCTCCCCTCCCCCTCCCTCCCCCCCCTCCTCCTCCTCCCCTCCTCCTCCTCACCCTCCCCCTCCCCCTCCTCCTCCTCCTCCTCTCCTCCTCCTCCTCCTCCTCCTCCTCCTCCTCCTCCTCCTCCTCCTCCTCCTCCTCCTCCTCGAAACAGACGAGCATGTCTCCCGACCAGTGCCGAGCCACCTCCGCCCACCCCGTCCGGCTTCGGCGACGGCACGCGCCGGGCTTCTGCCCCTCGGGCCTCGCCCGCGGACGCCCGGATGGGCTTCCTCGCCGCCAGCTCCTTCAGGTCCACCTTCTTCACGTCGCCGCCGAGCATGGGGCGGGGGGGGCTCAAGCGTGGACCCTGGCATCGCTCGGGACGTGTGCATGTTTTGTCTCGGCGAGGACCATCGAGGAGCACCTGTGATCACCGAGCACAGAAGCACGCGCACGACATCAAAAAATCCACATGGAATGGACGTCCGAGCGAAGGCAAGGGACGGGGCGAGCGCCGCGACCACGCAGAAGGCACGCCGACGGCCTGGAGCTGCCGCCTCGCGCGCCGCTGCGGCCCCGCCGACACGCCGTGCCCTGCGAGCAGGCAGCGTGGGTGGGGCGGGAGGCCACGGGATGCTCGGGACGTTCGTGCTTGGCGGCCAGGACGTGGTGGGCCGACACTGGCGGCGCGACACGCTGAGCCAAAGTGCGCGACAGCATACACCACCACCACCATGCCTGGCCAGGGAGGCGGGGGAGAAGGAAGAAGAGGAGGAGCCAGGAGGAGGAGGAGCCAGGAGGAGGAGGAGCCAGGAGGAGGAGGAGGAGGAGGAGGAGGAGGAGGAGGAGGAGGAGGTGGGGGCGGAGCCAAGAGGAGGAGCCCAGGGCCCTGGCGTGGCGCGAGCGCCCTCCCGGCCGAGGCCAGGGAGCTCTCTGATAGTACGCCGCGCTGGGGCCCAGGACAGGAGCCTGCCCAGGCTCGTGGGCGGGGAAAGCGAGACTCGTATCCGCATCGGCTGGCTGGTAGCGCAGGGGCAATCATCGGCGGCGAGCGAGGGGGGGGGAAGTGAGGAGGAGAAGGCCCTCTCAGAAGGCGGCGGGGGGCCTCTTGGAAGCCATCGCGCCCTCTGAGAAGTTGAGTCTTCGGGGAGCTTAGGACACTTCTCAGAGGGTCAGAGGGACTTCCAAGACTTCTGAGAAGGCCCGAACCTTCTCACTTCCCCCCGGGCGCGCCGCCGACGCACATGCAGGGGAGTCGAGGCCTGCAGGAAAGGGGCCCTCAAAGAGCCCTTCGGGGCTCCCAGAGGGGCCCATTGTGGGGCCCCAAGGGGGGCCTTTGGGGGCCCCAAAAGCGCTCCTTTCGTCACCCCACGTGTCTTGCCCCTACGTCACCGGCCGTCCGACCATATCCATGGCCTCGCCGTCCAGACTTCCTGGCCACGTCCGCGTGGATACAGGGCTGATCCGCGCGGACGTCGCGCGCGTAACGTATCCGTAGGATCACGTGTTCATGGGATCGCGCCTCGGTTTTCAGACCGCGAGGGCTTTGATATGGATATGTTCCATAAGATCGGCTAAGGATCGGTCACCGGACAGCCCCTGGAGCCCACCCCAGCCAGTTTTCATACCAGATCCTCTTGTCTGGATGGGGTATGTACCAAGGGGGGTCATTGACCTTCCGACGAAGCTTGCCCATCACTCCCGCTCCCAGCCCTCCTCCTCCTCCTCCTCCTCCTCCTCCTCCTCCTCCTCCTCCTCCTCCTCCTCCTCCTCCTCCTCCTCCTCCTCCTCCTCTTCCTCCTCCTCCTCCTCCAACCCACGCTCCACCCGTTCCTACAGCACGTTCCCCCCCCCACCCCGCCGCGCGGATCCAGGGGGTGGGCGATTATTGCCACATTGAGTACTTGTTCCTCAGTGTGGTCGTCGCTCTCGACAGGCATCGGGCGGAGCACACGGGCGGAGCCCACCTCGTCCACGCCCGGGCCCCCCCTGTATGTACTGAGCGCAGTCCCTGGCAGACCTCGGACGAGCACGCCGGCCGGCCGCGATCCCAACACCGCGGGCGGGCAGCAGGAGCAGGACGCTCAGCGCTCGAGGCGTGGGATTGATGCATAACCACCGCCTCGAGGATCGATTCCCGCAGACCTCCGAGGGGGGCTTGACTTCGTGTTCGCGCCCATGTTAATGACTAGCAATACAAAACCCCTAATCCTTTGGGATGGAACCTAGGTGAGGAGGGCCAGAAATATTCGGGATAGGGGGTCTTGTTCTGCAGATGTATCGAACCAAACCGCCCAGGCAGACTTTCCCTGATGCGAAGGCGGACACCCGAGTGAGGCCACGCCTTCACTGTGTTACTTGTGCCAGGGGTCCCTTGATTATCGATGAAGGTTGATGGCGTTGCCCTTCCCATTCCCTTCGCACCAGGACGGGTTTGCCTGGCTGCCTGGAGCTCTCGACCCTCGTCTTCCCATGCGGGGCCTGCTGGCCCTCGACGTGGGCCGCCCTGCGGACCTCTGCGCACGCCGGCGCCGCTCTGCCGCACGGCAGTGCCTGCTGACGCCTCGGGCGCCGAGTGCCTGAGAGCATGCCGAAGGAAGAGATCAGCTCGACTGGCCACGTTCGGCCCTGTCGGAGGCCTCCAGAGGCCTCCGGAATTGAGAGGCCCCCCAGATGGGGTCAGAGTAGATGGGGTCGGAGGATCGCGCCGCATCGCCGATACATCGGTGATGCATCGGCGATGCATCGGCGATGCATCGGCGATGCATCAGCGATGCATCGGCGACGTCGACGGGAAGCAAATCGGGCTCCACACCGAGCCGCATCGCTGGTGCATCGGCGATGCGGCGCGATTCTCCGAACCCACCTGCTCGGACCCCATCTGGGAGGCCTGGAGAATCGGCGGACGAAGAACGCGTGCCATAACTTGTCCGCCGCCGGGGACGCCTGCCCCAGGGCGGCCCGAAAGTTTCTGCCCCCTGCGGTGGCACGTCAGGGCACAAACCGTTCAGCCGCGCCGGGGCGGCCGTCCCCGAGGGGGACAAGTTGACGTTGTCTCGTGGTCCGCCCGCTGGCTGAAGCCTCATCCCCTCCTCCTCCTCCTCCTCCTCCTCCCTCCTCCTCCTCCTCCTCCTCCTCCCTCCTCCTCCTCCTCCTCCTCCTCCTCCTCCTCCTCCTCCTCCTCCTCCTCCTCCTCCTCCTCCTCTCCTCCCTCCTCCTCCTCCTCCTCCTCCCCTCCTCCTCCTCCTCCTCCTCCCTCCCTCCTCCTCCTCCTCCTCCTCCTCCTCCTCCTCCTCCTCCTCCTCCTCCTCCTCCTCCTCCTCCTCCTCCTCCTCCTCCTCCTCCTCCTCCTCCTCCTCCTCCTCCTCCTCCTCCTCCTCTCCTCCTCCTCCTCCTCCTCCTCCTCCTCCTCCTCCTTCCTCCTCCTCCTCCTCCTCCTCCTCCTCCTCCTCCTCCTCCTGGGGCTGGGCCCTCAGGGGCCTTCCACGATCTCCACCCTCCACGCCCTCCGCGCGGCGGCTGCCGCGCGGAAGGCGCGGAGGGTGCAGCTCCTCAGACCGCCGACGATGTGCTTCTCTTCGGTCCACCGGCCCCCGCAGGTCTCGACCCTTTTCCCCCAGACTCCCAGACCCCCCCCCCAACGAGCCCCAAGGTCAAGAGAACCCCAAGAGGGCCCCAAGAGTGCCCCAAGTGGCTCCGCGAGGACCCCAAGAGAGACCCAAAATGGCTCTAAGAGACCTCCGCGAAAGCACGTCCAAAGCCCCGCAGGTCTCGACCCTTTCCCGGGGGGGGCTCTCCGTCTCTGCTGGCCCCGTGGGAGCCCGGAGACCGGCCCCCAGAGGCAGAAGTGGGGGAGAAAACGCAAGTACAGTCGCCCCGCATCCATGTTTGATTGTCACGAGGCCACATGACGGCAGATGTGGAAGAGAAAATGGCAGGATGACAGATCACCCGATGCGTACCTGGCCCCTTCTGCACGCGAGGCGACTGTTCGCATGCACGCCCCATGCACAAGAACAGATCGCGAGATATGCAGGATCTGCGCTGCCCTGTACTCCGTCGTGCCTCCCAGGATCCAACGGAAACTAACGGCGGCTGCGCAGTTCGCAGCCCCCGAGGGAGCCGCGAGGTCTCCAAGGGATCACCGCTGCCCTGCACTCCGCCGTGCCTTCCAGGAGCCCACGAAAAGGGCGACGGCTGCGCAACTCGCAGCCCCCAGGGGAGCCCGCGAGGTCTCCCTGCACTCCGCCGCGCGACGGCTGCGCAGTCTGCAGCCCCCAAGAGGACGGACGAGATGCAAGAGGACGCACGAGATGCAGGAGGAGGTAGGCTTAAGTCGGGCGTGTCCCTCTACAGGAGGAATAGTCTGGGGACTCTGTTTTTAGTATTACCATTTGGGGGTATTTTGTTGGACTCTTTTTTAATTTGTCATCCAAAATCCCCCTGTAGGAGGACATGCCCGACTTAAAGGTAGGCGGAGGAGGGGGTGAGGAGGTTGCGCGAGCAGTGCTCGATTCAGAACGAGAACCCAACCAAGGGAGGGTTGGGGAAAACATCTTGAGAGCCTGTCGGGGGGACATGAAGGCGGGGTAGGGGAAAGGGGGTCAGAGGAAAATGGCTCTGAATGGCCCATGGTAGAAAGAAATTGTGAGCACCCATCTATGCCGTTCCCTAACCAAACCTTGGGATAGCTCTCCCTCCACGAACCTCCGATGAGGAGAAACGACAAGGAGATGGGCACGGGAGGGGGAACATCGACCTGGAATCGGCTCGGGCGGGGTGGGGGGATCGGGCCACTGTTCGGGGGCACGCAAACATGGATTAGCGATCCATGGATTTGGCACGCGGTCGCCCAATCCATGGATCGGGGGAGGCACCATCCACCCTCCACAAAATGCGGCCAGTGTCGCCTCGCTCGGCGGCGGAAATCCGCGATTTCCAACGGAAACGGGACCCGTCGCTAATCCACGCCCCCTTGATCCATGTATGCGATCGCCTGAACTAGGAATGATGCATGGGCGATGTGGGGGCCGATGCATCCGCCCCTGAGTCTATTCTTAGGTCGGGCCTGTCTACGGGGGGATTTTGGACGAAAATAATCAAAATTTCGTCCCCTGACTATTTTTTCGTATTTTTGAAGTTTCCTCCTGTAGAGGACATGCCCGACTTCAGTCTATTCCCCCCGAACGTTGCTCCTGGCCTTCTGCCCCCTCCCCTGGCCCTCGGGCCACAGCGCGGGCCTCCGGCGGAACCTCTCCCGGGGAGGAGCCCGACCCCCCCGGGGGCGCCCTCGACGAGGCGCAGCGGATGGAGATCACCGGGGGCCCAGAGACCAGCTGAGAAACTACGGAGA